GTGCCGCGAGGGATGGAGTTGTTGAGGTGGTTTGTCGTTGAGAAAAGGAGAGGTTGAATGGTCGTGGAGATGTGGAGAGAGGAGGGGGTGTGTATATTTTATAAAAACACTGGTTCTGGGAGAGGGAGAAGCTGCTGGTCTGTGCTGGGCGACTGTTGGGAGTACTGTGGGCATCCCAGGGATGGGAGATGAGGAGGCAGCTCCTGGTGTGTAGGCGTGGACCAAATACCAGCAGCTGAGTCTGCCGCAGAAGCTTGTCTGTAAGAAGAAGATTCGGTTATAAATACCTCACTTGAGGCTGTTTTGACTCATTGATGTGTTTTTAGGCACCAAAAGAGCTCCATCTTGTATTTTGGATTAGCACCCAACGCGCCGAGGTCCTGGTTGAGCTGTGGCGTTTATACGGAGCTAAAAATTGTTTGATGTTCACATTAAAATTCTGTGGATACTGGGAGACGTTGGTTTGCAGGAATTCTAGGTTGCTGTCATTGATCAGCTGATGACATAAAGGGATGGCAGATAACTCAGAAACAGGGAGGGATTTGTCTTCTGTGAGGTGTTTTCTGAGAAAACCTCCTTTCCGCCTGGAAAATAACGTTGCTTAGGATTGTGACTTGACTTCAAATGCTGTCGGAGTGGAGAGACTAAAGAAAGTCCTCGTAGGCGCTAAGTGCAGGCTCCTATAAGCAAGATGAACGTAATTGGGTATTTATTGAAAGTGTGGTCACTGCCACTCTTCACGGGTGCTTTTCTCAGCCTGTCAGATGTCGTTCAAAGTCCCAGGCTTATTTTTAGACGTGCCAGAACGCTGGGAGCAATTGAAAGGCTGAGAATTGTCAAATGAATTTATTTAAAAAGGTGTGCAGTGAGAGGTGCAAGTCCATGTCCCTTAGGCACCAGCCTGGCTACTTAGTGAGCAGAGTGGTTGTTTTCTCCCAGTTCTCTAGCGAATAGCTGAAAAGAGAATAGGAAAGTCCACAGCACAGCAGAGGTTTAGATACATCGTTAATTTATCAAGTTTTCCTGCTTTTTTTTGTAGAGTTGCCTTTAGAGAACAAAACAGAAAGCATATGGGTAAGCTGATATATTTATTTATTTTTTTTCTCCTTTCTCCCTGAACTTTCTTCAGGAAGAGGAGACGGAATGGTAATGAAGATGATGGTCACGTTCCCCAGACAAAACGCAGTACCAGGAATACTGTCCTTCAGGACTCTTGGGACACTGAGGTGAGAGCCCTCTTGGGCAAATTCACTTTCCTTTAGCTCTGAATTTAAATAGCAGTTGGTATATTCTGTGAAATTTCGTTCATGGAGAGTAGTTAATGAAATCACTTTTTTCTTTTTTCTTTGTGTACAAGGTCACAAGACTTGACTTTGTCACATACTTCAAAGATTAAAATCTGTAAAACGTGGTTTGGAAATCAGCGTGTTTGCCATTGAACCTGGTTATCTTTGCCCTGAGCGTTCCTGTTAATGTATTTCAAATACGGATGCGTAGTGCTCAGGTGAAGATACAGGCACTTGCCGTCACTTTTCGTTTTGCCCTCTGAAACGAGCTGCACTGTGTCCAGAACCGAGGAGGTGACGTGGGTGGGTTATGAGCGTGTGTGGTCACTTTGCCTGGCCATCTACTGTTATAATTTTCCATTCGCTTTTGGTAACGTGATTATTTGTGGTAGAAAGTCAAAAAGCATCCTAACTGGTGCAGGCCACAGAGTGCCCGTTGCAAGCAGTGGCGCTTATCTGGTGTTTAAAAAACACCCTGATGGAGCTGGGCAGTTTAAGCAAGACTTGCTGGGTCGTGACTAAAACACTCGAACCCAGACTATGGTGTTTGTGCTCGTGTTTGCCGTGATCTTTTGCCGGCCGTGGGATAAACTGTCTCTTATTCTCTCATCGCTCACGTGACAGGTGTTCTAGGATGGTGCAGTCTGTTAGCTGTGAGATTTCGTTTTTTCAAAAACGCTGATTTCCAAGCTGCTGCCAGATTTCCTGAATTGTTGCCTGTATTAATCATCTGAAATTTCGCGGAGCGCATTTCTAATGAGCAGTGTGGGTCTGCTGTGAAATGGTAATGGAAAAGAGCGTGCAGAGCAGAGGCTCCCTCCTGGTGTGTGTCCCTGGAAGTTAATGAAATGGATTTCTTTTAAGGTTTTTTTTCTTGTAGTTTTTTGTACAGCTTTTTCACTTTGAAGAATTTCGCGGAGCGCATTTCTAATGAGCAATGTGGGTCTGCTGTGAAATGGTAATGGAAAAGAGCGTGCAGAGCAGAGGCTCCCTCCTGGTGTGTGTCCCTGGAAGTTAATGAAATGGATTTCTTTTAAGGTTTTTGAAATAGCCTTGTAGTTTTTTGTACAGCTTTTTTACTTTGAAGATTGACTCATAGGAGTAATTACAAACTGTTGCAGTTCTATTGAACTATTTGACTGCAGAAAGTATTTTGTGCTCTGTAACTTAGAGCAATATATCCTTTATCATATGGGAAGGGCTTCCAATGTGTATATCCCACCATTCCTTTTGTGAGGGAGACTTTCTTTTAACCCTGCACCTTCACGAATAGCTGATGCAATAGTTAGTGATATTGGATGGAGAATGCTCTGACAGCCGAGATGTTCCTCACGAAGAAATTCGCTGTGACGAAAAACGTTCCCAATTTCTGTGTTTCTTTTTTGCCAGAAGTAAGACTTGTGGGGATTTCAGGTCAATTTTTTTGCTTCTCGAGTATAACGGGTAGAACAATAAATAGCTGCTTGCCGTCTGACACTGAATCACTTGTCCAACAGGTTAAACACCTCTTCGTGTGTAGAGTAGTTAATGGCTAAACCAGCTTTGTGGCAGGAGGAGGAAGAATTTAGTGTGGAAGCAGGGATTGAAGTAGGAGTAATGAAATTAAGACTATCAGGAAAAACCTTAATGGTGAGTGGCAGAAGCACCTTTGCTTGTCATAAAAACACTTGGCGTTTGGCTGGGCAAAGCCACTAAAATGCAGAAAGGGAAGTAGTTCTGTAGTAGCCACGTGTGCGTGGACGATCTTAACCCTGTCCTTAACGGCTGGTTTTGTGTGGGTGCCTGCAGGGACCAGCGTGGGCCTGAACCTCCTGCCCTGCCAGCAGCCACCCCAGCGCAGTGTCCCGGCGCCGAGGCTAACATCCAGGCTCCTGCCTCCTGCTTCGTGCATGCGTTTGCAGTGTAAAAGTGTGGGTTTTTAACACGGTAAAACCCTGACACGCAGGCAAAGGGAATTCTGCTGCTGACACTGAAGTGGAGGAATGCGCCTGCTTGATACAGTTTTACAGAAATCAACGTTCCCTTTCTGAAGGGGAAAAAAAAATCCTGGTGTTGTCTACTGACGAGTAGAGCTTGTTCTTTTTTTTTATTCTTGTAACGTAGAATCACTGAATTGAGCATGCCCAGAAATTCAAGCCTTGAGATTAAATCAGTATTATCTGAATGTTTCTTTAAGGACTTCCTGTGCCAAATGGAGAAATTCTCGTGCTTGTAGTGCACAAGTGCTTCCGATTGATGCCACTTTGAAATTCTTGGCCGTTTGTAATACTTTTATTTAGATTCTTGATACTTTGCTATTTGCAATGACAGCTCTTGCTGATGAAAAATCCTTTCTAGCTTTAGGATATTGAGCTTGGAGAGAAAGTGTGTGAGTGGGCGCAATTTGTAGCTTCAAAGAGTCCATGAGAAGGGAATTGCTTTACATCTGAGGCACACCTGCCTTGTGTGAAACGTCAGCTCAAGTACGGATCCCTTCTGCCTTCCTTCAGCTGGAAGTTGCCTCTTTTCTTTTACAGAGTGTGGTTTACTTGAGACCGTAACCTCAGGATGAAAATCAGGCTGTATAGCTAAAACTGGTCTTGGCCTTTGTCAGGATCTCTTTCCGGTTTTGTTTTGGTTTTGTCGTAGCTGAGAGAACTATGTGCAAGCTGGAGATATTTTTTTTTAGTGGCAGTTCAGATGCAGGATGTTCTATGACGTGTCCCCCAGCTTTGACTCCTACTGCTTGCATGAGCTGGATGGGATATCCAAAAGTTTTTTCCCGCTAGATTGCTCCTTCACCCGGGGTAGCCAGCCTTGATTCTGACCGACTGTCAGGGAGGGAAACAGAGATTTCCTCCCTCCCTGACAGCACTGCTTCCCGGCAGGTTGCTGAACAAACCGCTCCCACACTCCCGGGTGACAGCCACCCTTGGGGTGACAATCACCCTCTGTTTTGCAGCTCAGGCCAGGAACAGGCAGACGACAAAAACACTGTGAACGTTAAACATTAGCGAAGCCGTTTGCCCGGGTGTTGCACTTCCCGTTCGGCCTGTCCCCCGCTGACTGGGAGGTCAGCTCGGTTGTTTTCCCTGGCACTCGGTAATAAATTCCGTGACAACCTTTCATCCTCTCCTGTCCGTCAGTCGAGCAGAGCTGTGGAGGATCCTCTGAGGAGAGACGGGAACCCACGGTTGTGCTCTGCAACCTGGAGAGTCACCAGCAAACAGCCCTTTGCTCTGATTTTCCCTAGGAAGGAAGGGATTTTGCAGTGCTCCGGCTCACTCTTTTCCTTCCTAAATAGCCCCTGTAAAACTTAATTTCTCGAGGCTCTTTGTTACTCTGATGGATGCCAGGATTCCCCAGAGGTTAGAAGTCCCACTGTTGTGTCGACAGAGGTTGCTGACACATGGCAGCGGTGGCTTCTCTCGAATCAGAGTTTTTTGTGTAGCGTTGCAGCTCTGCCACTCCACGTTGTTAACGCTGCTGAGGAAGGGCTGATCTTAAATTCTAACCACATAACGCCTCTGTCGAGCTCGTCTTAAAAGCTTTTGAGAGCAGCAGGCTCTGAACAACTCTTTCTTAAGTTCCTGTCTTGAGTGATTGAGATGCTGCATCCCAGATTAATACATTTAACAAGACGTTTGTTTGGAAATGATTTAAAACTTGTGTAGCTACTCAGTGTGATGTAAAGAGGGGTCTAATGAGCCAGGTAAACCTGAGAGATGCCCTTTTGATACTTCGAAGTTCTCATAAGCTTTCACAGGGCTACTTTCCTTTGCCCTTTTGCTTAAAACTGTTTCATTGTGTAGTTGCCTGTCATTGCTGACATGATGACTTTAAGGATTCTTTTTTTGTCTAATTGTAGTCCAAATGCGTAACAGAATGTGCACCACAGCCTGGGGAAATGGTAGGTCTTTGATGTGATTTGGGCAATAAACGGGCTTCACGTGCTAGTGAATTTTTGCATTAGAGAAATGGAAATAAAGAGAGTCTGACAAAGCAGATCTGTCAACAGCCTTAGATGTAGGAAGCACGTCCCAGGACACTGTCCCGGTTTTAAAAAAGAAAATTGTCACGTGCATAAAGTAATCATTCCTAACGGCTCTAAACTGTTTGTTAAGATGTGAAACTTTAGGGGGAAGTAATACTAGGTTCTCATTTTGATTTTTACCTTGATTTTCAGAAGGTGGCTGTAAAGAAAAACAGTAAGGAGCACAGACTAAAAGGAAAGAAAGTGTCCTGTGCGGTGGGTTTCTCTCCAAGGCTGCTGTGACTTGTTCAGCGTAACAGCGTTGCTTTTCAATATTTGTGCTTCTATGCAAAATGAGCTGGTTCCAGCCAGCAGCGTTCCGGGGCTCCTCTTCTGTCCTCCCGGTGCTCTCTCCCTCTCTAGCATTAGCAGCATCAGAAAGAGGAGCTGGTTGTAGATCTGCCGCTTCCTCGAGAATGACTTCACTGCGTGGTGTTGTTTTTCTCCTTGCTCGCTGAGCCTAACACACCCGCCCGGGGGCAGCCCTGGGGCCCTTGTCCTGCTTGCTGCACTAGACAGAGCTGAAGCATTTTCGGTGCTTAGCAAAACCAAGGACATTTCTCTGGTTGAACTGTCGCAGTTGATTGTGGAATCAGTGCCACAGCGTTTCCAGTCGGTGCTGAGTCCTGGTCCGCCTCAAAGATTCACACGGTGCCTTCCTGGGCCTTGCTCGCTGCTCCTCGACATCTTGGGGGCAGTTTGCACCGTTCTTCGGATTTACTCCGAAGTGAGGCCTTTGGGGTGTGGTGCTCACTGTTAAATTGCTGTGGGCTTCTTGAAATTTGTCTTCCTCTGCTGCGGGTGCCACGCTTCGACTTCCATGGTTGTGGCTTAATACTTACAAAAACGTGGTTGGTTTGGTTTTTTTAGCTGCCCTCACTTACGCTGGCTGCTTTTGCCAATTTACTTCTCACGCCATGGCAAAGTAGCCCCTCTCTAATTCTCAAGCACCTAAATATTTGCTGTGTTGTCCTGAACAGCATATCACACAGTAATGAAATATTTCAGCTGTAACTAATGGAACCTTTCATTAGTAGCCCTTAAAATGATGTAAACCAAACAGTTTTATGTCTTTGAAACACTGAAAATGATGGGTAATGCTCTTCCAGTCATAACCGTGAAATGTGTTTATCCTAAACGCTGGCAAATGAGCCCTGTCCTCTATGTGAGATAAATTACAAATTCTCTTTTCTGCACGTGGAAGTCCTCGCTGCCCGTCGCTCTTTCGCTGTCTCACCAAGTCAATTGTTAAGGAGAACAACCAGTTAACATGATGCAAAACTACCGGTTAACATTGCCAGCCCGGTACTTAACTGGGAGAAGGGTGGTTGTGTGTATGTCAAGGTGTTCAAAGACTTAAAATGGGTATCGCGTTGCACTTCATTTTTTTAACAGCCTATTGCTCTGGATGCTTCAGATCTCACTTTAGCAAGACTGACTTGTAGGAAAACGCTTTGCATGGTGCTTACCTAAAACGTCCGCTAGACCAGAAGTGATAAACTTTCCCTCGTGCCCTGCCTGCCTTTACTGACACGTGCGGCTCAGTAGGAACGTTCTTTATTTTCCAATTCTCGGATGAAATCGGCAAACTTCACTAGTGCTACCGTGGGTCATGGGGGCAGAGCTGCTGGGTCTGAAAGATTGAAATCCAACGGACTGGAGGTCAGCGACCCTCCTCCGGGTGAAGGCTCGCTCATCCCTTCAGCTCTGTGACGCTTTCCATGTGTTGGCAATAAGGGAAACTCTGAATGCCAAGAAAGCGCTCGGTGGATTTATGTCAGTCCATCAGGTGAGCGCGAGCCTGAAAATCTGGAAGGGAGGGACTTCCTGTAAAGATGGTTTGGTTACCCGAGGTGTTTCATCGCGGACAGGAGAGAAAAACGTGCGATTTTGCTGTTAACCTTCTTTTTGTCTCAGTCCTCCAGCAGCGATAGCGGCAGCAGCAGCAGCTGTAGTAGTAGCAGTAGCAGCATCAACAGCCCCGACAGAGCGTGCGGTGCCGAAATCGGCCAAAACCCAATCGTCCCAGGATCCAGTCCTGGCTCGTCGCCGTCCTTCCACGAGCAGTCCGCGCTAAGCCAAGGGCCGTACGTCCACATCAACCAGATCCTGAAGGAGGCACACTTCCACAGCCTACAGAGCCGGGGACGCCTTCCCACATGATGGACCAGCAGTTCCCTGCCTTCTGTGAAGGGACAGCACTGTAGATTTGATATTTCAACTTAAAAGTTTGTTATAAAGGAATTGCACAAAACGCCTGTTGCCTTTTCAGTCTATATTTGAAATACCAGGTTAACAGGAAATTGTTTACTTGTGGTTTGCTGCACTATTGCAATGCAAAAGGGGCTTTGAAGCAATTTTTATAGGATTCTCTTTGGGGTGACTGTCGAGTACATGTCAAGAGGAGACTGAGGAACCCACATCTGTGTTATAGGATTGCAAAAAAATGTCCAATTCCAATCGACTGCCTAATCTATCTGTTAGCAATTTGTTGCTTTATGTAACGTTCTCTCAAACGTTCCAACTTCAGTTTTATAAGTCTTTTTTAATTTCAATAAACTAGTAAAAAATTTATTTGGCAACCTAATTTTTTTGAGCATTTAGAGCTAAGGAGACAGAATAGGTGCTGTCTCTGGAATCCCTTAGGACTGCCCTAGCTGAAAAACTTTCCACCCAGGTTCAGTCAGCTTGAGCCTTATCTCGCATGATCTTCACTGCTGCAGTACTGAAAAGAAAATGTGAAACCAGAACCAGGAAAGCTGAGGCAGCTGTAGCTGAAATGTCAGGCACCCCTGGGGTTCGCTTAGCAGCTTTGTGCTGCCCCCAGAGAAGAGCAGAGAGGCCTAGGAGGGGCTTCTGAAGGAGAGAGGAGTCTTTACAGCGCTCCAGCACCCATTTCTAACTGTGACATGTTTCCTGTTACAGTGTGTAGTTGGTTGTGGTTTGTTTGTTGTTTTTTTCTTTAATTTGACATTAAGGTTAACAACTTTGAAGGAAGAGGAGGTGAAAGAGTAGCTGCACCTCTGCTCCAGCAGCCAGTCGTGACCCGGGCCTGGCTCAGGTGACGCACTGTGACCTGGCTGTGAAAAAGGACTTTTCTGACAATACCAGCGGAGGTGCCAAGGGGGAGCGATCTCAGTGAAGACGAATACATGGGCAGACTTTTAATTTTTTAATGCATCACTTGGTCATGCCAGAAAGCCAGCCCAGCTTGAAGAGAGAAGGGGGAGCAGCATCTTCCTCCTCGGTGACGAGCTGCCTGAACAGAGAGCCAGGGCGCGACGCCTCGTCTTCTGCTCTTGTGAGTACAGGAGGTGGAACCTGTTCAGTTTTTTTAAAACAAAAGCGTCAGGATCTTAGAGCGTACCTTTGAGTAACCCCACACCCTCACCTGTAGTAGCTGCAAGGAGGTGTAACTACAGCAGGCAATCTGTGCTGGAACTACAACCCAGGTGGTGTCACTCGTGGTGGTTAGGGACAGGCAGGCGGAGGCAGAAGCGCAGCGCCTTGCTGCTGTTAGCTGTAGGTGACTTTTCAGATGTCATTTGATGCTCAGAAACGAGAAAATCTGAACTGCAGGGAAGGGGCTGTTGCTCTGAGAGCAAGGGGATGACAGCACAGTAGAAGGACCGCTGTTGCCCTTGCGGAGAGCTGTGCTTGAGTCACTACGGACTTGAACCTCTCCAGAACTGTTTGGGCACAGACGGAGGAGGAAGCGTCTGTCAGGGAGGGCTTCGCATGCGTGTGCCACCACGGCAGGCAGGGGCAGTGGTAGGAGCGAGCCAGACAGCACCGCACACTTCTACGCTCCGCTCCAGCTGAGGGGGAAAGAGGTAAGGAATACCTTTATTGCGAAGCTTTGGGCTTTTTAAAACACCTTTATACTGTGTCTGGTCCTTAATGCTTCTGAATAATGGAGAGTAAACCTCAGCATCTCAAGTAACACTCTCTGCTCAGATAAAAACAGATCTTTCCTCTTTTGTCCCAGTTGGAAAGACCACCACAAATGGATTATTAGGTTAATAATAGCTACAGGAAACAGATTACTAATTCCTGCTTCCTGTAGCTGTCAGGTATTCCTTGGCTCCCTCGATCCTCAGCATAAGAGAACTCTATCGAAGCAGATGTTTTAAACTGGGGGAAAAGCAGCAACACAATGGTTGTCTACTGATCCAGCTCAGAAGCAGGACAAGACAAGCTGTGCGGGAGAAGCACGCCACTCCAGTCACACAGGCTGAAATACCCAAGCCAGGCTTCGTCAGGAGTTAAAGGTCAGCATCGCACTGGAAAGGAGTTCAAATAATTAGCTAGTATCCTTGAGCGTTTCTTGTAGCCATCTTTAAATGAACTGTCTTTTATGCGTTGACCTCAGAATGCCTCATCTGTGTAAGTCTTCACTGCGTTTTCCTGAGGGTTATCTCCTATGTTTTACCACAGAACAGTGTTCCCCAGAAAATAACAGGGGCCATCAGGGGGATTTTTTGAGGGTCAAGGGGAAAATCCAAACCATCTCATGCTGGTTCTCTCATTTTACCGAAAATAAAAATCAGGTTCAATATTAACTGTTTGGCTACTTTCGTCTTTCCCTGCAAGCTCCATTGCTGGTGGGAGAATGAGCACTGGCAAAAAGTGAATACAGCTTAGTTTTACCAACCTGAACTCTTTCTGTGCTCCTGGTAGCAGACTTGCTCTTTCGCGAGCTCGACATACTCAGTGGTAGGAGTCCGAATCTTAAGAGGTGGAAGAAAGAAACGTGGGTGGTCACAGGGAAGCAGCAATTCCAGACCCACTTCCCAAAGACGCACGGAAGAGCCGAGTCCCTCACCTGATCTGGCTGGATGCCAACGGCAAGATGTTGTGGAGCTCCTGGGAGCTCAGAGCACCGCTCCTGCTCGCGTACTGGTTCTCTGTGCCGGTCAGCAAGCCGAAGAGAACCTAGAAGGTGCAAGGGAGCTGGTGGGATTTGGGGGCAGCTGCAGAGCTGACACGCAGGACGCTGCTACCGAGTCTGCTGGCGTGTCACTTAGGCTCAGCGTTTGAACATGAAGTGCCTCCGTTCCCCCTCTACCTCTTGCTTTTAATTGGCACTGCTCGTTATTGCCGTAGTTGATTTCTAGGCCTGTTTCAGCACTACTTAACCCAATTAACATCACACAGGCTCCAGTGAATCCCGTTAGATAAAGTTCAGCCAACTCTGTGCACAACTGTGTGCCGTGCAGCCAGCTCAGCAGGCTCCTCTTATCTTAAGCTGGTATTAAATATTCTTCCCGTTTCTGAGTAAGCACCAGCAGTTATCTGTAGGCATTAGGCAGTCTATAAAGCCACCCCAGCTGCCCTTCACAATGTGTCTTGCAGCCCCGCTTCCCGAGCCGTCCCTTCCTTCTCCTTGAACTTACGGAGGTTCTCTGAACCAGGCGATTCAGGTTGCTGTTCAAGTGGGGAGTAAAAACGTCCAGATCGAAGGGATCGATGTGTCCCTCCAGGAAGTCGGTCACCTTCTCAATCCTACGAGCAGAGCAGAGGAGTCCTGTCAGCGGTCAGATCCTAGCGACTGCTGCTCATGCCAGCAGGTGCCTCCGAAACAGCAAGGGACTTGCCTCTAAGAGGTGACCAAGCAAAACGGGAATTACTCAGCAGAAAGCAGCTGCCTAAAGGGGTTCCAGCTATTATACAACCTACAACATCTGCTGAGGAACCTTCTCCCTGTGCTACGTCTCTGAGGGAGATGCCTCAGTTCTCAAAACCGGAGCACACACAAGGTTTTAAGTCCTGCGTGGAAGCTGATGGTAACACTGCTGCTGTACGGACACGCCGTGTACGCAGGCCGGCGGGGACCAGCCTGCTCCGTCTCCGAGCTCTCAGCTGCAGAGTCCTGCCCCTCCTCCTGTATGTTGAGGATGAGCTTATTGCCGGCAAGGATGACAGAGCTTAAGGCACCGCTCCTGCAGGCGTCCTGAGAGCCACTAAGGGTGATGGTTTAAACCGTTTTAAGGCCCCACAAACTACTGCCAGTATCTGAACCCCAGAACCGCACCCGGAGTCGTGCTTGATCCTGCCGGTTTTTGCTTCCTCGCTCTTCATCGTCAAGATGATGCTCAGGTACCGCAGATCGTAGAGGAGCTGCAGAGCTCTGTTCTGGGTCATGGGGAAGGTGTCTGCTTTCTGCAAAGAGGGACAGTCAGGAACAGGGCTCTTCACTGCCACCGAGAGGGCTGTCAAAGGACCACTTCTGGGGAAACGTTAAAAACCACCAGCACCAAGAAACAACCAGCACATGGTCTCATGTCTGCTCCCTTTTTGCCTCATTTTTGGGGGAGGAAGAGGAAGAACATACTTGCCCTTCCTCTCACCGGCAGAGGTTCTCTGTTTTGAGGGACGGAAGCATACACGTCACTGCGTGCCCCACGACCCTCCTGCCCCACCCTGTCTGGAGCCGAGGCTGATCCCACTCCCGTACCTTCTCCTGCTTCTGGTCCATGAGCTTTTCATAGGCAGCAAGCACTTCTGCCATGCAAGTCCTCAGCAACTCCTGCAAGGTGACTTTTGGAAGAGTGTGACCACCCACCCGGTTCACCTCTTGGCACAGGTTGAAGAGGAGGCACTGGACATACCAGGATGGCTGTGGAAGAAAACCGTGTTATTTTCCCATGGTCTGTAAGCTACGTAAGCTTTATCAGCGGCACAGCATCGCTTCAGTTCTCATGACATGAGCTTCCTACTTCCTCGGCAGCCACAAAGCTCTGCCACTGAGACCTACCTGCCCCCACAGCACGGCTTAAGCACCTCGAAGGTTTTTATTTACTGACATACCAGACTTTTGGATATAGCTGTCCTCAAAGTCCCACAAGTACTTTTACCAGAAGTGTCCACCCGAGTGTAGTCAGAACGGAATTGCTTGTTGTGCCTCTTCTGTCACCTCTGACTCTGCTCTGACCGCCTGCTACCAGCACTCGTTATTTGCTCCCTTGTTCTTCTCCTGGGCCTCCCAGCTATCCTGAGTTCATCTGGCTACTTTTTTCATTCAGAATCAATAACATTCACCTTACAAGGTTCACTACAAAAAAACTTAATGCCCTGTCCAGCCCCTCCCGCACTGTGCAAACACAGAACTTGCTCTTGCCCTGGCCCTCCTCCCCCTCCAAGCAGTCACCATCTGCTTTGTCGCTGCAAGCGTCACTCCCACACCACCACCACCACGCCTGAGGAAAGCTGCAAACCTCCGTTCTCTCAGGCTTTTCACAGTCCTGCTGTTGCAGCCCTGCCCTTCAGCACATCCAACTTCCACGAGATCTTTCTTCCTGGCCTAAGTCCTCCTTTGGCTCAATTTCAAAGGATCTGCACCAATCTTATTCATTTGACCATACTGCAGCAACCATGTGATTTTCTTCTAATCTCTGTCCTTTGGAGACAAGTATCTCAAAAAGCAAATAAGAGCACCGGAGAGTGTTTGCCCTCTGCTTGTAACACCAAGCAAACTCCACAGCAGGTCAGCACCATCTGACAAATGGGTTTGGAAACCAGCGCTTTCCTCCTCCCCACAGACTGCCTCTGCGTTTACCGACAAGATGTTTCGTACCTGCACAGGCAGCCGGATCTTTGATGTTACGCTGTTTCCAGACTCTGTCTCCTCCTGAATCTCAATTTCATCCCAGTTGGGGGCTGTGGCCAGGACGGAGCCAGCTGTGTCAAGCAGCAACGTGCGAGTGAAGCACTGAACCAGACCCTAGAGCATCAAACACAAAAGCACTCAGTCTCAGCTCCAGCAGGCGTGCCAAGGGCTGCTTCTGCCCGTGGAGAGACTGACCTCCCGCATCCCCCTGCTTCTCCCAAAGCGAATCTTAGGGAGATCATCCCCCTGCCTGCCACCTCCTCTCCCTTGCAGCCTGACAGAGCGGCGCGGCAGCAGCACAGTGAGCTCTCGGCAGCCGGTTAAGGAGCAGCAGCACTGACCACAGGGAGCTAAGCAGGCAACAGCTGTGACAGGAGGAATAGCGCCTTACTTTGGTGACAGCTGAGCTCCAGATCTGGTAAGCAAACAGGCTCTGCTGCAGGAGCTCTGCCTTCACCCCCTGCCACTTGGCCTGCACGGGGGTCACCTCCTGAGCTTTCCCCTTCCCCAGCTTCTTGGTGGAGCGCGTTTCCTTCAGCGCCGTCTCCGCGCTGCCCGACTGGCCCAGGACACAGTGCTTCAGGTGAGGGCAGAGCTCGGCCAGGGACTGGCAGAGTCTCGCCATGAAGAGGACAGCATCGAGCCTGGCATCGCTGGGAGCGTCCGCCTGCCCCCCCAGCAGGCTCTGGGCGCTCTGGAGCTCTTCGCGCACGCAGCCCAGGACGTGGTGGATGCAAGCGACGCAGTGGTCGTGGAGCAGCCCCTCCACCGTGCCGGCGTCAGCGTAGCGGTCAAAGGCAGAGCGCGGAGTGGCCTCCTTTGTGGCCGAGGAGTCGGCGGGAAGGTAGGACAGGAGGTCGTCCAACCTGGCCTTCAGCTTGGAGTCCAGAGCGGAGCAGAAGCTCTGCACGCACGGCGTGAGCGCCTGCGCCTTCATGGACAGGCCACTTTTGGCGAACTGGCCGCGGTTTGCCACGTTGACCCAAGCGGCGTTGGAAGGCAGGTCGCTGGAGCTCTCCGACCACAGGAACAGGGCCACGTTGTGTTCAAACTGGACAGGCTTGCTTGGGGCAGAGGTGCTGGATTTGACTTCAAGTTCCTGTAAGGCTAAGGCAAGAAGCTGTTTGGAACTGCTTGATATGGAGTCAAAGCCTTCTTTGGTCAGTGTCTGGAACAGAAGCAGGAAAGAAGACAAAAAGCACCTTTTACATATGCCTCTTGCCACTTAAAATACTGCTGTTAACAGGCACCGGTGGGCTGCGTGGGATGACAAGAGGGGTCGTGGAGCAAGGCTCCCCAGGACCTGCCATGGCAGAGTGCTCACCTCTTTTCCAGCCGCTGCAGCAGGTCCTCCCAGAAGGAAGCAGGCTTGTCCAAAAGGCGGCGGCACACTGCCTCCCAGTTCTGGCTTATGGACTCGCTCGTGAGCAGCTCCCACACCGCGTCGCGAATCCCCGCGAGGCCTTTCATGCTCTTCACGTAGACGAGCAGGTTGCTGACCCCGGCCCTGATGTCATCGCTGCACCTAAAGGCAACATCTCGTTTCAGTCTGACTTGCTCAGCCACAGCCCCCGAGGAGAGGCAAGAGAAAACATCAGCGAAATCAAGGTGGGGGAATTCTTAACCTGTTGGTAAGAGGCTCTGCCTGCAGAATCACCCGCAGGGCTGAGGGTATCTCTGCCTCTCAGCAAGGCAGGTGCACCCTGGATCCCACACTGGGGCCCCATAGGAAAGCCACGTGCCCACCAGCAGGAACTTTGGGCTGTGGTGGGTGCTGAAGCCCCAGGAACGCCCCAGGAAAGCTGTCAGGCAGAGAGGGCCAGTGGGGGCTCTGGGGAAATATCTCATGGCCAATGAGCACACTATGGGGGGCTGCAGCTGACAGCAGGGACCAGCTGGCTTCATCAGGTGATGACAGAAAGCTGATGAGGCTGTTAAGGGGTGGGCAGGGCTGCCAGGCTGGCCCCAGCCCCCTGGCAAGGCGAGATGGGTTGGGGCGGAGCTGACAACTCAATAAAGGGGGTCTGGCTGCCCCCACACAGCCCAGGGAAGGGCAGCGAGAAGAAAGGAGGTGCTGGATCAAGAGCGAAATGAGCCAGGTAAGGGGATGTTCTCGTTTACTCTGTTCTCCTTTGCTGGCAGTTATGGCAACGTAAAAGGCAGCTCTAAGCAAACATTTCTGTGCAGCCCAGGTGGGCTGTAATGTCAGTGGGTTTGCTTTGTGCTGCTGCCTCGGCACAGAGGCCGTGTGGTGTCGGGAGAGCCCGGCAAGGGGGTATCGCTGCCCCACTCACATGGTGATCCACTGCTGCAGCGTGTCTCTGAGGTAGTCCTGGCTGATGGGGTGTGCCAGGGTGCGCAGGGCTGGCTGGAACTCCACCACAGACTCTGGGAGGTACCTGAACCAGCTGCTCAGCTTCACCTCCTCCTCCAGAACCCCACCTCTCCCTGGAAGCACACGGTCAGGGCATCAGCCCAGCACAGGGGGACCCTCCTGCCTGCAAACTCGGGCAGGCAGAAGCCCCATGCAGAGCTGCCCTGGCACTCACCAGCTGGGTGTTGGCCTGTGGTGCTCTCCAGGGTCGAGAAGAGCAAGCCACAGGGCAGGGCTGGATCTGGGGGCATCCCTTCAGGCATGGTGTAGAAGAGAGCGTGAGCCTGGTACAGGGTGGTGGTTAGCAGCTCCATCAGTGAGGACACCTGAGCTTTTATACCTGCACCTGCAGAGAAATGCCTTTCAGCCGAGGCAGCCCCTTCCACAGAGGGTTCTAGTGAAATTTTCCAGGGACAGGCTAGAGGGCAAAGAACTCAGCCCCAGGCACCATCTGCTTCCCCGTTACGGATGGGTTCGGCTTAAAACCTTGAGCACTGCTGATTCCTGGGGTGGTTTGCAGCTGCCAGCTGTGTCCCCACTTTATGGGACTAGCCCACCCGCTCTTCTGTGGGGTTAGAGGGATGTGAAGTGAAGGGGGTTCCTCTGACGTTACAGAGGAGGCAGCTCAGCTGTACTGACCGTGGTGAGGCTGGTTGGGGAGCCGCCGGATGACCAGGGTCCCGTCGGCGAGGGCCTGGCGCGGAGAGCTGTCCTCCAGGAGCATGATGGCACACAGCGCTTCTGCCACCGCCTGGTCTGACACAGTCTGGCTCTTCAGCAAGGACTTGCTCTCCTGCAGGATGGTGGATCTGGCGAGGGAATGAAGTGGAAAGTCACTGGGTCTTGGTGCTTGACCTAGATATTCAGGTGTAGTTACGTGACCACCTGCCAAGCAAGGATGTTATTTTCCCCAGGCAGAAGCGGGACTCTGTGTGTTACAGGACTGTGTGAGGTGATCTTACCCCACGGCTGGCATAGGGCAGGAAGGCAGCGAGAGCCCCGGGTCACGGGCTCATAGAATGGTTTGTTTCACCACCTCACAGCAAAGTCCTTCTTCCTAATGTCTAAGCTAAATCTACCCTGCTTTAGTTTAAAATCATTGCCCCTTGTCCTATCGCTACACACCTTTGTAAACAGTCCATCCCCAGCTGTTCCGTAGCCCCCTGAGGTAGGGGAAGGCTGCTCTGAGGTCTCCCCTCTAGGAGCCTTCTCTTCTCCAGGCTGAA